AGGAAGAGAAAGTGGAAAATAGGTCTGATTCTTCAATTTTGGAGAGAGAGAGAATGAGGGGGGAGGGGGGGGAAGAGAGAGGGGAATGATAGAATTGGGGTGGGTTTGCAGAGGGTGAAAGCGAAGGTTGGGTTGAGGTTTCAATTTTGTTTAAAAAGATAATTCTAGTTTTATACTATAGAATTTTATTCTATGTTTTAATTAAATGATTAAAAAAAAAAAATTTAATAATATACGTACTAATTTTTTTTTTTTGAAACTCATATATTGATCACATAATATTGTATTAAAAAAACATAATGCATTTTAATTAAAATTACATACATCTTCATTGTTTTTTTCATTTTCACATATTACTGCCAGACGCGTTTTCACTGTTTTTTTTTTCTTAGAAAACAATTTTCAACTGAGCTACCAGATGCGTTTTTGTTCTTTGAAAATGCGTTTTCATTTTTTCGTTTTCATTCTCTGAAAACATTCTTTGAAAATACTATCTGAAAACATTACCAAACGGCCCCTGGCTCTCCCACGTTATAATGGAGATGCGACCAAGACATAAGCGTACAAGGAAAGTCCGCTTTCTCGTCGTTTAGCTGGTGGCACGTTCCAAATTCACATTGTATGTTTTGTTTTCTTGCTGAAAAGTTTTCAAGGCCAATCTAGTCATTTCAGTAAGACCGCGTGAGGTCAACAGTTAGAGAAGGTTGTGTTGCGAAGAGGGGAAAAAAAAATATCTTTCCCCAATTTAATTTATTTTATTCTTTCCAACTATTCAATTTTCTCTTTTCTTTTTTTTGCCAAAATTACTCATAAAATTTTAAAAACCATGTTCCTTCATTTCTTCTCTATACCCAATAATCTTGAGAAGAAAAAATATTGGCCAAAATTTGAATCAGACACAGTGAGCCTCCCCTATGGATTTAAGTTCGAATTTTCATATTCGTAAATTAAATTGAAATAATTTAGTTAATAGGATTCTTTCCATCGTTACCCTCCTTTATTTAGATTTGTTTAGATTTGTTACAACTAAACCCTATATTCTTCCAATATCCTTTTCTGTTAGTAACTATTAACAAAAAGTATCATTTTTGTTATTTCATCACATTCGATTGACGAAATAACAATTTTATCCTCCCTAGACAAAATAATATTTTTTCCCTCCTAATTAGTGAGGAAACAATTTTCTTTCCTCGTCTTAATATTTTTTTTTTGTCAAGGTTGGAGCTAGTTCGTTGATGAAATTTTCAACAGTTATGAACTTCATTTTTTTTAGTACAAGCAATAGTCTAAACTACAGGGGAGGAGAATTTCTCACACATACACACAACTATGATGTCGTGGAGATTCAAACTTGAGACATCTAGTCTACAAGTCAACGCCATTTTTCACTGGATTAGACCCGTATGCAACAGTCATGAACTTAATAGAAAGGAAGGGTCGATTATGCATAAAATATATTCATGTTATTTTAAAAATCATAAAAATATTTAATATTTTAAGCCTCCACTTTTAGATGTAATTAATACGTCATCAAGCCTTGCATTGTTCTTATCTTGTTTTTATCCTCATCTTTACAAGGTGGCAAGTGTTTGAGGAAATAAGATCATCTCCAGCCATGGGCTATATCCCAAATATAGCCCTAAATTAATGCAAAACCCATATCCAGCCAAGGCTAAATAAAATTTTGGCCAAATTTGGAGGGCCACATTTGGCCCTTTAGCCCTCGTCTTAATATTTTTTTTTTGTCAAGGTTGGAGCTAGTTCGTTGATGAAATTTTCAACAGTTATGAACTTCATTTTTTTTAGTACAAGCAATAGTCTAAACTACAGGGGAGGAGAATTTCTCACACATACACACAACTATGATGTCGTGGAGATTCAAACTTGAGACATCTAGTCTACAAGTCAACGCCATTTTTCACTGGATTAGACCCGTATGCAACAGTCATGAACTTAATAGAAAGGAAGGGTCTTTATGCATAAAATATATTCGTGTTATTTTAAAAATCATAAAAATATTTAATATTTTAAGCCTCCACTTTTAGATGTAAGTAATACGTCATCAAGCCTTGCATTGTTCTTATCTTGTTTTTATCCTCATCTTTACAAGGTGGCAAGTGTTTGAGGAAATAAGGCCATCTCCAGCCATGGGCTATATCCCAAATATAGCCCTAAATTAATGCAAAACTCATATCCAGCCAAGGCTAAATAAAATTTTGGCCAAATTTGGAGGGCCACATTTGGCCCTTTAGCCCTCCAACCGGGCCAAATGTACCCCAGCTTTGGCCTAGGCCAAATTCATAATGGACCCCACCATGTGCTTTTCAATCACCAAATATTAAAGCACTCCCCCACTTGCCTTATTAAAAGCTGGATATATATAGATTTTAAAAGCTGTTTGAATGTTTCTTGTTGGCAATGACCGTTGGAATCCATACCTACCCACTCCCTTTTTTTAAAAAAAAATTAAAATTAAAAATAATAATAATAAATGTGGTTAGTTTTTGCCATCTTTTCAAGTATTGTTTAAAAAAATAATAAAAGAGTCTTTGTTCATAACCGTTGAACTCAAACATTGAATCCCATCCTTTCCCTTAAAAAAAATAAAATAAATAAATGTGGTCAGCTTTTGCCATCTTTTCAAGTGTTGTTTAAAAATAATAATTACAAATATGAAGTGTATGAGTGTTGTACCATAGTTTTTCTCAAAATAATAAAATATGAATGACCCTAAAATATAGCCCTGC